CAGGGCGCGTAAGTGGCAGCGCGGCGGCGCGGGGATCTGGGGAGGACCGCGAGCAGCCGAAAATATAAAGTGTATTAAATATAGGAACGAGAGCGAAATGTGGGGCGATAGGGAGGCGGGAAGGAAGGGGAAGGGGGGCGAGATCTGGTTTAGTTATTAATTGAAACGGAATGGAGGCAGTAAAACCGGACGAGGAGTCGACGGACTTCCGGTACAATAGCTGTCCTGGCCTGGCAAATGTAACGATGCTTCGCGTTAGTGCAGAAAGTTTATATACCTTGTTCAACGACGAACTTCTAGAGAGAAAAGAAGAACCCCGACTCTTGAAAGCCGCGCAGTATGTTTCACTCTCGAGCGCCGGCACGTCCTTCGCGTCGCACTCGCGCGTGCGGCCACGCGTGATATGCCGCTGGAATACTAAGAGTGATCCGAACGTGGAGGAACTGGGCCGCCTGAGCTCGACTCCAGCAGGGCGGCGCATATCACTCGAGAGGAGCGCTCTGGGGAGCAGAGGGCACAGGGGCATGCACTCCCGCGTTGAATAAAATCGAGAATAAAATGCATCAGCGAGCACATCTGAAAGGTGCGTTTATTAAACCTGAAGAAATTATTACAGATTCGTGGAAACATACCTAAATTTGTCACATTTTTGATCTGATCATCTGGCTTTTACAAGATGCGCTCACAGATGCATTAGACAGAAATTGCGGAGAATTCCTTGTCATTTAGAGGGTAGCGTTTTTAAATGTAGGATGCCTATCGCGATGATTCGGTCAAACTGTGCACTAGTATTGGAATATAGGCGGCCATACAAACAAAGGGGACGCTTTTCCTTCGACGCTCACACGCACGCAAGACACACTCGCGACGGCGGCGAGGGAATTGAATCCCGCGTATTTCACGCTACACGCCCTTCGCGCTGCTTAACAGAGCACTTCAACGCACTTCGCACCAGCCAGGCGGAAAAGTGAGTTGTGTGTGTGGGAGGGGGGGGGGGGCGTTTGTGTGTGCAACGGCGACGCTTGCGACGCTATATAGTTGGCCATAGTCGTTTCAGCCGTAGGGCAGAGAAGAACAGAGACGAAAAGAATTTCTTAAGACTTTTTTTCCATTATTTCTGCCGACAGTGTAGGCCCCGCGGCGGGCGGGCGGGCCTGGTCCACGGCATCCAGGCCAGCATCCAGCCCGCCCGACCGGCCCGGCAGCTCGCGGCAGCCCCCAAGCAAGGTGAGCGAGTGAGCCGACCGACACAACGACCTGGTGCCATTAATTCCACCGCAGAGTCCTTTTAAATCACCTTTTGGATTCTTTTTTGCGGTGGACCAACCGCGCTGATGATGTTTTGCAACAAAACGAAAAATTATACACCTGTTTTATGAAGAGAAGAAAATGAAATGACCCGAATGCGTCAATCAGTCAGCGTATGAATAGCGCTCCGTAATTTATTTTTATTTTTTACAGACTTTATACGTAACATACTTATTCATCGAGTTAAAATAAAAAGGAAAATCTGGCTATGGCATTTAATTTTTATTGTTTTATTTTTTTGCGACAAGACAGTCGGGAGAATACTTTCAGTGTACTGATGCTGCTATGGCGCTCGCCGCCCTGCACAATCGCATTGGTAACCAATCCGTATAACACGCGGCATTATCCGATTGGTCCGCGCGTGAGAACCGAACCGCATGGAGCCGAGCCGAGCCCCCGAGACCGCAGCCAGCGTGTGCCACTGATCCCGATCGGTTCCGAGCCGAGCCGAGCCGAGACCTCCCGTTACACGCACAGCGCGGGGCGGGCGGAGACTCCAAGTGAGCACACAGCGAATAACGATCCTGGCGTCGCGAGGGCGTCGCGAAGACGTCGCTCTCCAACGAGGAGAGGCGGAGGAGAAGGAGGAGGAGGCGTCGCCCTCAAACGGTACCGCACCCCACTCCACTCTGATCCCTGATCCCGCCGCCGCTCCCCGGCGATAAACGTTCCTCGCCTCGGACTTCCCCCTCGGCGGGCGCGGCGGCCGCGCGAGACAAACATTAAAAAGACTTTGTAGCTTAAACAACCACAAAGTTTGTTTCATAAGTCGAGCCGTTTCCCATATTTTATTTTACGGTCGGCTGGTATTGAAAGGTAAATAAGTGGATCAGTCGTCCAATGTAGAAAGCGCATTTAGCAGTCCGGCTGCGCGCCTGCGGACCGGCTGGTAGGCAGACCCGCGCGGCAGCTGAGCGTAACGGGGCGGCCTACCTGGCCCGGCGCGCTGCAGCCGCCGTGGGCTGGGGCGCCGTGGAGGTAGGCGGACCCGCGCGGCCCCTGTGCGTAACGGGGCGGCCTACCCCCCAGGGGCTCAGCACTGCGAGTGTCCTCTCTCTCCTCTCTTCTCTCCCTATCTCCTAATCTCTCTCCCTCAGCCCCCCCTCCTCTTCCTATCCCTCCCCCTCTCCCCTCCTCCTCGCCCCTCCCCCCCCCTCTCTCTCTCTCTTTTCTTTTTCCCACCCTGCTCCTTGATCTCTCCCCCCGTCCCCCCCTCTGTGGTGTTTTGCTCACGACCTGATCGAATCTGACTGGAGATCAGGACGAGATCATGAACCCCGTCCGCACGGCTTGGCATCAGCAGCAGCAGCAGCGGTGGCGGCGCCCAGCCTCGCCCGCCCTCAGTCAAGGCCAGCACCGTTACCGCTATCAATCAGGTTCATCGTCGGCCCCCGTCGGCCCCCGTCGGCCCCCGTCGGCCACCCACCGGCCCAGACCCTAGCGTCGACCGGTAAGTGGCGTCCGAGGCGCCGTCAGTGCTTCCGAGGAGGGGCTACGCCTGCAAGTGTCCTCGATACCGCCATCCATCGCAGAAGAGCCGCCGGAAGTGCGAAAGTGTCCCCATTCGGTGAATATGACACTCCAGCGTCAGAGAAGGGTGTCCCATCCGCGGCGCCCTGCTAGTCGTGCTCACCCGTGGCCTCCGCGTTGACAGCGCCGTCCTGGCCGGCGGCTGGGTCACTCCTCAGCCCGGCGAACACCCGGAAGCCCACGTTGCTGAGGTGCATGGCGAGCTGCAGGCCGAGGGCCGTGTCGCAGCAGGTGATGAGCACGGAGCGCCCGGCCGCGCGGCCCGTCAGCACGTCCTCAGGGTCTGCGTGGAGCGCCTGCACAACGTCAACGAAAATGTTATTTTTAAAATGGGTTGGAAACATTTTGAAACGAGTAATAAACGAGCTGAAGAGCTACTTTAGAATTTCTTGCGTTACACTGAAAAAGGGGAAACAGGGGCACGCAGATGTGCCTTTGAAAGGTTCTAAGTTATTTTAGTAAGTGCTCCTATAAAGGCACGGAAGAGTCAAAATAGGTGCTTTAACTGAGCACCTTTGGGGCATTTTCGTGCCACTCTAGGGGTGTTAATTTTTTTTACTACCTCTGTAAAGGCACTCAAGTTATTAGCACCCCAAAAAGGATTGTCGGCGTTGAGTCCCACACCCAACGTGTGTAAGTGGTCACTCACCTCCTTGGTCTGCAGGCCGGCGGGCTGCGGCCGGATCCTCCGCAGCAGGTACAGCAGCAGGGCGCAGGCGATGCAGGCCAGCGCCACCAGCTGCAGCGCCAGCACGATGGACGTGTGGTCGTCCATTCTGCAAATGACGCAAACGAAAAAGCAGAGTTAGCACAGGGTGAAGTACCACGGGAAACCCAAAGTGTGAGAACGTCGCACACTTGTGCGGGCGTGTGAATTCCAATACACACACTTGTACCAGGGATGGTGGCAATGTACATTAGAATTTCGCACGCTTGTTATGACCAAGAAGTCCAAGAATCGAAATCTCACTTCGGTCGCGCACGACATATCGCCGCGGCCGACGCACCACACCTATCGCGGCGGGCTATGGTGGCGCCCAAGGTCGACGCAAGGTCACGGGCGTGCGGCCGCCGGCCCAACCCAAGGGCGGCCCGGCCCGACCCGCACGCCTCCGTCTCCCACGCACCTGGAGGCGGCCAGAGGCTCCAGGACTGGAGCGGCACGGGCCGGGGAAAAAAAAACAACAACAAAGAGAGCGCGCCGGCCGGCACCTGCCGCTGACATCCGTACATCCGTCCGTCCGTCCGTCCGTACATCCGTCCGTCCGTCCGTACATCCGTCCGTCCGTCCGTACATCCGTCCGTCCGTACATCCCGTACGTCCGTACATCCCGTACGTCCGTACATCCGTATATCCTGCATCCATACGTCCGTACATTCATGCGTTGTTCGCGTTCGTCCGATCACCCGTACCGACCGCGGGGAGCCGCGCGTCGTGTGAGCGACGACGCCTTCGCCTTGTGTGAGCGCGGGTAGCGCGAGGGGTCATGACGACGACAATGACGGGGCTGACGGCCGCACGGGTGCCTCGCGAGGTCTTTGTCGCTCGTCATCGTCGAGAACCTCGTCATGCCCGCGGCCACGGGGAGGGCGTGACCCGCGCGCGGCGCAGTGACCGCACGGGAGCCGTGCGTCGGTCGGGATCACTGCCAGGGAAGCGCTTCTTCTCCACCGCAACGGCTGGAGAAATGCGGTAGAGATTCTTGCTCCTCTTGTTGCTGCTGCTGCCCCTGCTCCTCCTCACTACCGCAATACCGTTTTGCGTGAACAATGCCCCCCGACTGTCGACGCATATGTTTTCAGCGTCGAACAGCTACCACAATGCCACCACCACCAGCAGCAACGGGAGCTGAGAGTTCTGTATTGAGTTTATTTTATACACGGACGAGTCAAGTTTTTGACCGGTAAACACTGACAAGTGTGGCAGCTGCATGTTGAACACTTCCACGGCGTGTTGAGCACTTGTAAGTCTTCAACAGCTCGATTGAACTCACACTTACACCAACCACACTCTGTGTCTCCATCACGTTGGAACTCGTCCAACAAAAGAGTTGAGCACTTGCAAATAATTTCACGCAACTAACTAAAGTCGACCGCAAATATGAGAGTGCGCAAACAACAAGCGGAACACACTTACAAGTGCACGACAAACGGTGCTTGAGAGTCAGACACGGCGGAGGCGGAGGTGCTTCACACGATGTCAGCGACGGAGACAAAATAAGGCAAAACACGGTGCATTCCGCAAGGCTAGCCGTGTCGCTGTCGTGTCATTCGCTGAAATCTAAATTACATAGGAATGGGGGGGGGGGGCAGCTCTACTTATACGCCGCGTCGTGCTTTTCCGCGCGGCCGCGCAATCTTGTGCTATTTTTTTCCTCCTTTCTTTTTTTTTTCTTTTCCTTTTCCTGCTCCAAGCCCGTCGTCGCGGCCGTGTGGAGTAGAGTGTGCGCGGCGTCCGTGGCAGGATTATCGAGGGCGTTTGTTCAGAGTGCTGGGTGTGTGAGATGAGGGAGTGAGCGAGATAGCGAGCGAGCGGGAGAGAGCGAGAGAGAGAGAGCGAGAGAGAGAGAGCGAGAGAGAGAGAGAGAGCGAGCGAGCGAGCGAGAGAGAGAGAGAGAGAGAGAGAGAGAGAGAGAGAGAGAGAGAGAAGAAGAGAAGGGGCCATATAACGCGTGGAGAATAGAAGCGTCATGTGCGAGCGCGCCTGCCTGCCCGGGCCCGCCGCACCCACACACCTGGGCAGCAGGGCCGCGCGTCCCCAGGACGTCCTCAGCTGTCACAAAGGTCCGCCGCGAGACCACAGCGCGTCTTCGCGAAGCGTCAGCGTCGTCATCGTTGTCGACATGAGCGTATCTCCAGCACCTGCGCGCTTCAGATACGCGGGCATATGTCACGGGGCCCGCCTCCACTCCTCACCCTCCCTCTCCTCACCCTCCCTCTCCCCACCCTCTCTCTTCAACTTCCCCGCGCCGTGCTTCAATTTTTCGTCTCCCCCACATTCCAGCGCAGCGCCACCCAAGAAGCCGCGGCCGCGAGCTCGCTCCGGGGCGGGGCGGGGCGGGGCGGGGCGGGGCTGCTCTCAAAGCGGATGAGCTGGCGGGAGCGCCCGAGGCAGTGTTGGCTGTAGGCTCATGTACCTACATAAGAGTCTGCTGAGATAAAAGCTCCTCCTTCAAACACAAGGAAGAGGCGTGTAGATGAAAGACGGAAGAACGCGTGCTAGTTGGTAAACTTATTATATTCGTCACATCATTTTTGTATTTCAATCTTTTTATTCATTTCTGGGGGTAAGGGGGGATGGGTAATACTCTCGGGAGTATGCATGAAAATCTATATTTTGTCCATCACAGCTTTCTATTAGACGGCGTCCATAGCGCGGGTCGTGCACGGCACACTCCTCGCGGTTGGTCACAACTATCAAACGTAATGGAAGGGTGAATACTGATCAGCGGCTCGCGATACGCACAGAGGCATCTCATTACAGCTCGAACGGTAAACAGATGCAAACAGTGCTGCAGCTGCCGCAGCCCGCCCAGGTGCGCCCGCCTGTCACCACCTGCGAGGACATTATAAGCGCGACATTTCCTTTATTGCGGAATAAAAACTAAAAATTGATTTTTTTTCATATGGTTACATAATTTGTTTTTCAAAACTGAATTAGTTATTTTCAAGTGCATTATATTTGTGTTTTTAGAAGGAAAAGTTAAGTTATCACTGTCAAAAAGGTCCTTGTAAATTTACAACGTTTTAAGTTATTCGCAGCTCACGACCCATTCTTGCTTTGTTGAAGAAACCAACTGAATAAAACTTCGTGCCTGGGAATTTCGTAATTTTACAACTTTCAACTCGTAAACATAACACTACATATTTCATGGAAAAGCTTCGCTTCGTAAAACCTACAAACGTTTGTTGACAGAGAACGTTTCTTATGAACACGCGCTGTACGTCACGAGGTGTGCTGTTCTCGCGGGTCGGGCCGCCGGGCCTGTGGGGTTGGCGGCCCGAGCTCCAACTTGCGTAAGCTCCAATTTGCCGGCAGGCGGCGCACGCCCGCGAGCGGCCCGGGGAGGGCGTCGAACGCTGGGCGCCGCCCGTGGCAGCTGCGTACGGCCACCCGTGGCACACCTGCAGCTGGGGCAGCCGCACCACACCGGGCGGCGCAGGTGCCAGATGGGTCGCAAGCCACCGCCGCGCCACCGCCACAGGCCGCAGGGGAGGAGAATCTGCTCCCCTCTTCTCATGGCTGTTTCAAAAAGTGATGGTAAAATGAAAATAACATCCAGGCGGAGAACAACTAAGACGACGACGTCGGGCGACTTGAGCCCCCGGCACCCGGCACGAGCCCGGAAGGGCGGGCGACACTACCGAGACGGGTGCGCCACGCCACGCCACGCCACGCCGAGGCGCATGCGCGTTATGGGTCTCTCCTTTCACTCCGAGCGGCGGCGCCACCGCCAAGCAGAGTTCCTATAAACTTGGCCACCTCACCGAAAGCGACGGCCCCACCACACACACACATGAGCATAACCACTACTGGGACATTTTACAAAGCACGTCGTAAAAGCATGGCTCTTGGGGCGATGCGCGGGCAATTTTGTTTTTATTTCGCCGCGACCAACAACGACAAAAGCGCCGTACACAGCGGGTGCACTCGTTGGTGAGCGGCGAATATTGCGCCTTCCTTTCAGAAGTTCAATGCATTGGAGAAATGACTTTCGATGTGCTATTGCTCCCAGTGCTTGCCTAGGCACTTACAATGTGCCTGACACTTCGAAGGCACTGGCACCCATAAAATCCCCCCTAGCAACCGAACCAACCAATAAACAAGGCACGCTTCTTAAGTTGAACAGAGTATGACCAACGGTGGTATAACGTTATAGTATAGTTTACATAATGCGGATGTTTCGTCGTATATCGTTGGAAAATTTCTGTGTGGCTCTTTCAAGTCGGGCCGCGGTCTTAAAACAAAACGAGAGTAATAAAATTGATCGCAAAAATTTGGCTCTCTTTTTTAGCACAATTTAATGCCAGTCCCTCCATGGTCTCCCCCTCGGTTGATTGGTCGCAGCATTTTGTCACGCGCGAAATGAAATCGTAATTAACACGACACGAAGCCTGGAGAGAGTGGAAGGGGGTGCAAATGCCACATGTCATGTCTGCTGGATGTGCGCGACGCGAGCGCGACGCGCACTTATGCTTTCGGTCACACTCGCTCGCCTATCCACGCTCAGGAAAAATTTCTGTTTGCATCTGTTCCAGCCGGTTCCAGCAGATGATACCAGAATTTTATTAATTTTTCGGGGTGAGGGATGTTTTTATCATTTACAAAATTACTTACATTAGTGACAGCTTTATTTTATCGAGATTCACTTTGGTTATTTGTACAGCGGGTAAAACGAAGAATTCTGTGAATGTGTTTCTTTGTTCTTTTTTAGAAAATTTGTGACAATTTTAAGATAATATTTTTTGTACAGTGTCTGTCTACGGACGAGTGAAGCCCGAGTGCGTCTCGCGTCCTCGCAGGGGCTTCATCAGTCCCCTTGCTGCTGGCCGAGCGGTCAAGGCGAAGCGCGTGCGGCCGGCAGGAGGCCGCCTCGCGGTCGTGGGTTCGATACCCGGCGGGGCGGCGCCTTTGCGGTTTCGGCGTCTTTCTTGTCCTCTCACACTCACACTCACACCCCTACTCCGTCCGAACGCAACTCGCGCGGCCGCAGCACCAGCGACATCATCATCATCATGAGCAGCAGCAGCAGCAGCAGCAGCAGCAGCAGCAGCAGCAGCAGCAGCAGCAGCAGCGGGGACTTGGCGCCCTTGGGTCGCGCAGTGAGTGGCGGCCGCAGTGGCGTGTCCCGCATTCCAAATCAGCTGCGTGCAGCTTGCAGCATCCCCTCCGGTCCATCGCCGCGCCGCCGCGACGCCGTGGATCGATCATAAATCTCTGGGATAACAGGGCCACTCTCCTCTCCGACTCTCGTCTCCTGCCGGTGT